ATTATTTGGAGCAGGAATTCTGCTTTGCACATCCTCTTAATTCAAGGAAAATCAGAAGGATGTCACCTGGTTTTGGAGGCTTGTAGAGCCAAAAATCCCTGGATTATTTGGAGCAGGAATTCTTGCCTTAATTTAAGGAGAATTAGAAGGACATCACCTGCTTTTGGAGGCTCCTGGAGCCGAAAATCCCTGGGGATCACTCCGGGATGGATGGTAACGGATCCAGGGGACAAAACCTCCGCCTGGATGAGAGAGAGGGAGTTGGGAAAGCGGGTGAGGCCACTCCAGGTGTGTCAGCAGGGCTTTGCTCCAGGTTGGGAAGGTGCAGAGGGATCGGGTAACCCCTCTGCCAGACTGGGATGGGTCGAAATCCGGCGCCGCCCGCGGGTGAATTCCACGGCTCCCGCGGGTGCTCAGGGACGTTCCCGGCGCTTCTTTTCAGGATGAGAACGACGACGACGACGACTGGAACCCCTGCAAGGCTGCTGGGGTGTGCCTGATGCTGCTGGCCACGTGCTGCGAGGACGACATCGTCCCCCACGTGCTGCCCTTCATCAAGGAGCACATCAAGAACCCCGACTGGAGGTACCGGGACGCGGCCGTGATGGCCTTCGGATGCATCCTGGAAGGGCCGGAGCCCAACCAGCTCAAACCTTTAGTAATACAGGTGAGTTCTGGGAGGGTTTGGGGAGCTGGGAGGGGTAAAAAACCCGTGGGTTTTTGTTTGGGTTTTTTTTTTTATCCTGGAGTTAAATTGCAGGAGGTTCTCAAGTGCTTGTTAAACAAAACAGGTGAGAGAATCCCAGGCTCTGCTCCTGCCTTCTGAGAGAACAGAGGGTGGAACTGAGCAGAGAGGGGGATTTGCTCCCAAAAAGCATCTCTGCTCCTGCCTCCTGAGGGCACAGAGGGTGGAACTGAGCAAAGAGGGGGATTTGCTCCCAGAGAGCATCTCTGATCCTGCCTTCTGAGAGAACAGAGGGTAGAACTGAGCAGAGAGGGGGATTTGCTCCCAAAAAGCATCTCTGCTCCTGCCTCCTGAGGGCACAGAGGGTGGAACTGAGCGGAGAGGGGGGTTTGATGTCAGAGCAAGGTTTGGAGGTGACGGGGTGGAGGGAGCTGGGTGGGCTGGAGGAATTCAAAGCCTGCCTTTTGCACGTGCTGACCTGGCTGCTGTTGCAGGCCATGCCCACGTTGATAGAGCTGATGAAGGACCCCAGCGTGGTGGTGAGGGACACGACGGCCTGGACGGTGGGGCGGATCTGCGAGATGCTGCCCGAGGCCGCCATCAACGACATCTACCTGGCCCCGCTGCTGCAGTGCCTCATGGAGGGGCTCAGCGCCGAGCCCAGGGTGGCCACCAACGTCTGCTGGGTGAGGAAACCCCCCGGGAACTCGGGGGGAACCCGGCCCAGGCCGGGAATGCTGCTCCCGTGGGATCGCTGGGCTCGGAGGTCGCGTCCGGCCCTTCCCCCGTGTCCTCCAGTGGGGTCAGAGAATCCCAGAGTCAGCTGGGTTGGAAGGGATCTCCAGGATCATCAAGTCCAACCCTTGATCCAACCCCACTGTGGTTCCCAGCCCATGG